AAAGGAAAAAAAAAAAGTGCTCTGCATTCGAGGCCTCTCACCTTTTTCAAAGGTTCTGCACATCCACGTGCTTCCCGGTCTATGAACCTTGTACCTGCAGCATTCTCCTCCCTGACCCCTTTGCCCTAGACGGCCCAGCTCCCCCGCAGGGCTCTCTCTGCACCATGGGGCCCGCACCCACATATGCCGACAACAGGGAGGCAGGCTGTGTCTGAATCTAGAAACCTGTCTTTTCTGACCTCGTTCCTTTATTACGGCGTTCTCGATAGAACACAAGCATCTGAATGCAGGTTACAACCAGGAAAGAAAGGAACACAGGGCGCATGGAGTTCTCCCGGCTACTGCATCACCCCGTCTCGTCCATAGGTGGGTGTACAAGGCTGAGCGCTGAGCCAGGGATCGGAGGCAGCCCCCTCCCCGCCAGCTCCTCTCCTCACGGAAGGGCACTCTCTAGTTCACAGGTGGCTTTCCAGAATTCTCTTTTGTTTTCCATCTGCTCTCTGTGGCCAGGCATAAATCGTTTGGTTATATACAAATCTCTTCAGGGCTTAGAGAAATTCTTTTTAGAGACAACCGACAGTTACTATCACTGATGTATTTCGACAGAAGAGAAAGAAAAAAAGTCAAATCAAATCAAGTCTAAGGCACAGAATGACGAGTGCCACGGAATTTTCTGGCGTTCCCCATTAACAAGCTATCTAAATGCCTGCCTGAGAATCCCACTGTGGAGTTCAAAGTGCTAAAACCCCGGACAGATTTCCCTGGTCATCTCGTGGGCACCAAGCAGGAGCCACTGTGCGTATCACATAGGAATGCTGGCCCGTCCCTAACCAGGGGCTGTGGCCACGGATCTCTCCTGGGTGTGTGAGGCCACCCACGTTCAAACCGCTGTGGCAGCTGTCTCCTTGAAGCAGCTGACGCTCTGCTGAGTGACAACAGTGACGCGAAGCCATGGAATTCTCCACGGGTGCAGAGGACCCAGACCCACAGCTCCTGACTCACATGCTGGGAAAAAAACTGGATGTTGCAGAACGAATCCAAGGAGACTGGGGCATCCTCTGGCTAATGCGGTTTGCAACAATCCACCTGAAGGTGGTGTGGAAGCTTATTAACCGCGCTAACAAAATGCTCTCATGTTCAAAAGTTACAAGGTGCCGCTCACTGCTAGTGCTTGTGATGTAATGCCTAACATGGCATCTGGGAAAATCTGTTCCTTTCCCTTTTCTCCCCCCTCCCCCTTTTAGACTGTCTCTTGTCTCCTTCCTTCCCTTGGGGCAAAGAGATTAATCACACTAAGGAACTGTGAATGTAAAATGAGCTATAGGGAACGAAAATGGGGAAAAAAAAATCCAGCGGTTTACTAGATTGAATCTGCCTACTGATCTATGTTCCTACCTCCCTATCTGCTCACGGGCTGCGGAGGGGAGGGGGGAGGACACCCCTTACGGGGCCCCTCCCTCCTTCGGTAGCGCCTCGATCCATCATGTATGAGGTCGGCTGATGCAGGATACCTGGGGTGGAAGACAGACAAGGGGAAGAAGCAGGGGACCAGTCTCCAAGGGACTGTCTTCAAATGTGTTCACCGTATTAGATCAAAGATGACCCTGCACAGAACTACTGATTCGCATCCCCAAGGCCCTGGGAACTCTGAAAGCAACCAACTCAGAAGTGTTTGTAGAGAACCGGACTGGCTGGGAACCAATCAACGAGTACCTGATCTGAAGTTCGGGCCTTCAAAACCCGTTTTTTTCTTGGAAGTTAACTCATGTGATCGACACGGAACCCTCTGCCCCCCGAACTCTTCATTGAGGCGCCCACAGCGTCTAAGAAAAAGCACAGGTCTCCAGCGGGAAACGGCGTCAACCCTCCTGAACGCCCGAGGCCGTCACCCTGCCGCTCAGATCATGAAAGGGACATTTCAGGAATGGCTCCGTTCAGGGAGAGGAAGTGGCACTGTAATTAAAAGTTCGGTCTCTCTTTCTCCTCGTGAAGCTCATCAGCGAGCCTGCCACGCAGATCGTTCCGGAAAACAGAGACCCGAGGGGCGGCAGCGCTCTGCACAAAGAGGCAGACGGGGGTCCTCTAGCGAGGCACACAGACTCCTGTGTCAGCAGTTTGCTGTTCAGATGAGTGACGCCACTCCACTCCCGGGCATCTTATCGCCATGGTAACTGAGCACAGAGCCCTGCGCTGAGCCCGCTTGTTCTCTGCCAGGAGACCGTGGGCGCTCACTGCAGGGCCGGGGACGGAAGGCCGGTCTCCCAAGGCTCTTGCACATCTGGGGGGCCACTCTCGCCGCCAGGCCAGCTCGGGAGACTGGCCGCTCAGACGCGGAGCATGTCTCCCCTATATCCAGGAACTGACCAACCGAGGCTTGGAATGACCTCCCTGTAGCCGTCTGCTTCTACCACGCTGAGCAACCTCTGGCACGGGCCTCCTGGGGCCATTGCCAAGGACAGCACCTTTCTGGGTCCGGGGGCCTCCGGGCAGGATTCCATGGTAGCCACGGTGGGAAGAGATAACCAGAATCCCGGGGACATCCCAGCACCGGAGGCTTTGTGAACGTGCCTCTGGGACAGCACGGCTTCACGGCAGGTTCCTCGGAGATGCTTGCTTTCTACTCTTGTTGAGGAAGATTCTGGAGCCCCTCTGGGCATCGTCCCAATGATACAGTGATACTCATCATTATAAAATAATTCTTTTTCGAATCAAAATCCCACAAACTGAAAAGCTCCGCTACTTTGATTTTCAGAAACACTCTCGAGAGGAGGACACACCGGTAGTAAAGGAGTTGCACACAAGGAAAACTACCACCCACGATCTGGCCGCCATGATTTCTTTTCACTTTGATAGGCACTTTTTTTTCATCTTTGCTGATCCAGAGAAAGGGTTTTGTCTCGCTACCGTTGTGTTAAAAATTTGTATTTTCCTAGAATGTAAGAAATATTTTTCCGTCTTCTCCCCCACAATCCCCATAATCAGTGTTTCTACTGGCGACTTCCAGGTTGCTGACGGACAATGAGGTGCGAGGTGAGCAGTCTGCAGTCTGTCCCCGTCTTGCCGGGATGACGCAGGGAGAGGCCCGCCTGCCACGTCTTTCCAGAAACCGCTGGAAAGTTCCTCGGTGCTCACTTTGACCCAGAGGCTCCCTGCCTCCGCCAATCTGTAGACTCTCCAAGAGTCCTACATGTCGCCTTATTTCATAAATATATATGAATTCATAATATATCTTGTTATACAGATACCACTTAAGTCCCCCCCGAAGGGCCCAGTGTGGTTTCCCTATGCTGGAAATGTGACAACAGACATTCCAAGCACAACAGCAAATACCTGCTAGACAATAAAGAGCGGGAGGCCATTCTTCAAGCATGCGTTTGCACCCAGAGAAGATTCTGGCATCGATCATAACTGACTAGGAACTGCAAGAGATTTCCTGTTTTATTTAGCAACAGGTGATTTTTTTTTTTTACATTTTTTAAAATCTTTATTTTTGAGAAACAGAGAGAGACAGAGCATGAGCAAGGGAAGGGCAGAGAATGAGAGGGAGACACAGAATCTGAAGCAGGCTCTGGGCTCTGAGCTGTCAGCACAGAGCCCGACGTGGGGCTCAAACTCACAAACTACGAGATCATGACCTGAGCCGAAGTCGGACGCTTAACTGACTGAGCCACCCAGGCGCCCCAGGAACAACTGATTTTGATCTAAAATACATTTATCACGATCTGTCAAGTGTAGTCCTGACTCTGTTGGGGCAACGAATACTCTTAAGGAGAGGCCAACTTTCCGTCGGGGCAAGCAAGAGGCGAGGCTAATTTTCCACGCAAATGTCTACTAAACTCTGGCACAAAAAAGCCCGTGCGTTATTTGCCCTGATACATCTAGAATGCGAGCCAGTGCTGTGTTAAGTTCTCCGGGACTTGCTACTGAAGGTGACGCGCCCAGACAGGAGGGGGAAGTATGCGTGGTTCCTCTTCAGCCGGACCAAGTGCTCCATTCAGAGGTCTGGCCAAGAAGACCAACGACTCGGGTAAGATACTGCCTTCCGCCCCCCGTTTTGGACAAGATCAAGAGGAGCACCCAAAATGCAAACTCAACTGTGCCCACTGTGGCCGACACCCACTCGGGCTGCATCTGTGTGTGGGCTCGGCATCTTGAGGGGTGCTGGCACCCAGCTGTTCCCCACACTGCACACATTTCCCCTCATAAAACCTGCAGCCGGCTGGCGGGCTTCACGCTCCTCCCTGAGCTCTGAGTTTTCAATGAATCAATGGGATATAGAGACTAATTCACGTGTTTAGAAAAAGAAAAGGGAACAGAGGAGCAGCTCAAGATGCGAGCTGTTCCGGAAGCCAGGAAGCAACGCGCTGAGCTTGAGGGGCGCAGGGTGGACACCCGAGGACAGCCAGGAACGCGGTGCCACTGCAAGGGGTCCGTGGGACAGAAACGCCGGCTCAAAGACCTGGGGGTGCCACATGCCAACCACAGGCCGACAAGCGTCTTGGCCACCTGCATAGCAGGCCCTCCGTCACCTGCCTCCGGGCTGGATTCCCACTCACAGCCCTAGTGGCTTCCTTCTTCCCATTCCTTCCTGCTTGCAGGTGGCCCCAAGGTCTTCTGGAGGGACTCAGCTTCTCCCCGTCATGACCCTGCTGGGAGAGGTCCCCATCCCCTCCTGTTTGACGGAAGCCCCCGAGAGTACAGGATCTGTCTCTGACTTGGACCCCAGCCCCGGTCCTGGGCACCTAGATGCCACAGGCTGATGAAAGAATTTGGTGGCGAGCAAGGCCGGAGGAGACCCTCACGCAGCTGCCGACTCTCCCCGTGTCCATTAGAAACCGGGACCACAGGGACCCTAGCATCCCAGCCTGATACGCTGTTTTTTGCTCACCAGATCCAGAACCAGGGGTCCCCGGAGAACCCCCCGCTCAGACCAGAGGACGGGGGGGAGGGGCATCGGGGAGGGAAGTATTTCATATAAAACAACAGAAATCGCTGCTTACCTGAGCTCACACAGCCCTGCTGCTGGGGATCCTGCAGTGACGTCACGGAATGGAGGACTGAATAAGACAAAGGGTTACAATTAAATGGGGACACAAACCCCAGGGGTTTAAAGCTTCCTAATGCACTGAGTGCAGCAGAGCGTGGACAGCTTAAGGGCCCCAAAGGCCCCCTCTTACAGGAGGGCCAGAACTCAGGGTACACGCAGGCAAGAGCTGGAGCCCATCGTATCCTTCACCTGCATCTTTGGCTGGTTTCCTTCCCCGATTCCCTGATTTAGCTACTTGACTTTTACCTATATTTATGTATAAACAGCATTTTCTTAATTAGTAACTCATTTTCTGCTGCTTATAAAATTAGCTAGGTACAGCTTTCTGTCTCTGAAAAACTAAAGTCAGCCACACGGCAACAGGTTGTGGAGGAAGGTGCCCCCAGGCGCGGCTGGTGGCCTCCCCCTGCGCATGTCCCCTCCCCCTTCCTGCAGGAGCCCAGGGAGGGGCTGCCCGTACCTGGCCCTTGCTGCTGCCCTTGCACGGGCAGGACACCCTGGCCCAGCTCGCCGTTCAGCCAGAGCTGCATCCGGATGAAGGGTTCGCGGCCTTTCTGGGTGAGCTTGCTCCAAGGCTTCGGCCGCGACAGCATGTCACTGACACTGCCCTGGGACAGGCCCAGTACCTGGAGGGGCAACCACAGACATGCATCAATGTCCGGGACTGAGCGTGAGGCCACCAAACGCTTCAGAGATGCCCACACGGCCTGTGGAGAGGCGGGACGGACGGCACCCAGTGAGCGCTTTCTTTTTTTTTTTTTTCCTAACAAACCTACTGTTTTCTTTTTTTATTAGAGATAAAAACAGCAAAGTCCCTCGTACCATACCCCAGGGAAAACAAGGCCGGGGGCGGGGGGCGCTATTTACAAGGGCTGTAGCAGGACACCGGTGGCCTCAGGTCCCACGGGAAGCTGTGGACCCCGGGGTGGCTTCCTGGAGGCGGGGGTGCCTGTGGGTCAGTGGAAAGGGGCCTGGGGTTGGCAAATAAGCTTCTCATGGGCCCCGGTAGGCTGGGGCCTGGCTTGGGGAGCCCTATTTACAGTCATGGCTTTCTGCTTCCAGGGAGAGGGGGGCTGGGAGGGGGAGGAGAGGGGATCTCGCCCAGGGCCTTCATCCCACCAAGGCCTCAGGGGCATCATCCTCTGGTGGTGCCAGGAAAGGCCGAGTGCTGGGGCCAAGGGCCCCATTAAGTGGCCGGAGCTGGGGGGTTGGTGGGCTGTGGAAGGCCGGTCTTCCTTGTGGCGCTGGGCCAGGCTGGAGCCGAGTGAGCTCTGCTCTCTCTGACCGCCTCCTGCTCAGCACTGGGGGCCCAGAGGTGAGCCGGCGGCGACGGGGGCGCCAGCCTGGGAGTGAAACTCACTGCAGACAACCGACAAATTGCACGTACATGCCCGAGTTTTCTTAACGCTCGCATATGGCCATACATATGTATGGGCACAAACACCCCCCACAGGACACAGATGCAGCCCAGAGATATTTAGGGGCTGTGTTCGATCACTCTTTTGAAAAGTTCTCAAGTTCCAGAATAAACTGCACTCACGGGCCAAACAAGTTCAACGCTATTAAGTCTCTGCTAAATTTAAGGCATGAGCACAAATGTCTATTTAAATGTTCTCAAATGATATTTTTACAACACTGAACTAGAAATTTCAAGGGACTTTAAATTCTCCTGCTCACTTCTATCCACCCCATCACCTTTTGTACAATCAGGACAAAAGGATCACCGTCAGATCCTGTACGGATCCACAGCTTGGGCCGTTGCAGATGCTGAGCGGAAGGCGGGACGGTGCGGGCAAGGAGATCCCGCATGGGGGTTCCTCAGAGGCCACTGCCGACCCTGCCATGTAACCCTCGGGGAAGCTGCCTTTCAGGGGAGCGGAGTGCTTCTCCTCATGCTCCGTAATGACTTGATGTGAAACAATGTTAGGGTATAATGTTTATCTTCTATTTTACAAGCCTGGTAAATCCCCATTATCGAGAATCTGTTACCAGGAAGGGTCTTGAAGAGAAACGGTCTGGGGGCTCATTCAGAATCACTGCACTTCCGTGAGCCTGGGAGGGAAGGTGTGGAAGCAGCTTTGAGGGCCAGTTGTGGGCATGGCAGTTGTGCCTGGGGCCACCTCTGGCTGTGGATTCTTGGCAGGTGGCTTTACCTGGCCAGACAGGTAAAGCTTCTGAATTGGAAGACAGGTACGATTATGCCTATCACATGACGTGTGCTTTTCCTGTCACTCACATCTTCCTTCTCTACACACTGGTCATCTCTCTATGCAGTCAGATCTATTTTGGCCAAAAAAGCCTGAGGAGATGCATCTGGGCCACACTTGGCAGAGAGGCAGGACTTGAACTCAGGCACTGGCCGGCTGGGGGCCTGTAGTGAACTTTCCTGAGCCTCACTTTCCTCATCTGTCAAATGGTGACTGTCTGCCCCCTCACATGTCACTGCGAGCCTAAAGGAGCAGGGTGGGTGACACGGCCAAGCCTGGAGTCTCGCCCCAGACAGGGAAAGCAATGGAACATTCATTGGCCAGCCTCTCCGGAAGTCTGGCAGTGGATAAACCTTTCCGCCCCATGCCTCACTAGATGGGTGATGGCCATGAACTCCACATAGATGCTAAGTTCCAGTAGAGAAAAGAGATGGGCAAACCCAGGCCCCCGAATCCAACTCCTTACCTTCTCCCCGAAGATCCTTTGGCAGATGCCATTCTTGGCCAGCTTCTCTTTCACCTGCCGGGTGAGCTCGATGGTGTCCACCTCCTGGTACATGTAGATCTCGTACTGCTCCGGCGTCAGCGGGGGAACTGAGGGCTTGGCGGGCTTGGACATGGGCACGATCGGGGAGGAGGGCAGGGGGCTGTTCTGGGGCGTCTCGCTGCGGCTGGCTCCGGTCAGGCTCAGCTCCGAGCTCTGCGAGTACGGCGACTCGGCGCTGGGCCACTCCTTCCAGTACTCCGACGACGAGGGTCCCTGGAGCTGGCCGCGCTCTGCCCGCGGCTGGCTGCCCCCGCCCTTCTCCTTCGCGCCGCCGGCCTCTTCCAGCTTGGTGTCCTCGGGAGGAGCGGCGCTCTTCCTCTCGGGCTGCACGGTGCTCCACCAGTGGTCCTTCCACACGCCGCCGCGGCCCAGCTCGTTCTTCACATGCCTCAGAACGCCCTGGGCAGGCTCGGCTGCTCCCTGGAGGTCCAGCCCGGGCGCGTCTTGGGACTCCTTTTTGAGGGCCGGGGGGTTGGGCAGAGCGGAGGTGCTGGCGTCGGGGGCGGAGGGGGGCTTCTTCAGGGAGAGGGCGAGCGGAGGGTAGCTGGACACGGACGACATGGGTGAGGAGGGTATCAGCTTGGGGGTCAGGATGGCGATGTCGGCCTGGGACAACGGCGCCGGCTTTAAGGCAGGGTCGAGGGCGGCCTGCTGGGCCTCCATCTCGCGGCGGGCCTGCTGCAGGATGGAGCGGATGGCGTCGTCTGAGCTCCCGCTGCCAGACGTGGAGGAAGGCTGGGCTGGCTCTGCTGCATGGAGCAAACACAGAGGTGAGACGGTGGCGGGACTGGCCCCTGCGGTCGGGAACGTGGTGCTTTCCCTCCGCTTCCTTCTAACCTGACCCTCCCACAACACACGGACCATCTGGGAGAACCGAGTGGCTCTGCTCTGCAGACATTCCCTCCGTCGGCGACCCTCGTGTGCGTCCCGCCTGGGCAGGGACAAACAGGCTAACATCACCGCTTGGGAGACCTGCTGGCCTCCATTCCGCACCATCTGAAAGGGTTCATTATCCTGGGGTGTGATGGGCGTGGGGAGTGGGCACACACCGGGGACGAGCCGTCATCCCTGATGACTTTTTTATCCTTGATGATTTGTAATTAATATTCCTGTGCGCTAAATTCCAAAATTGTAATGGTTTTGTCAAACTTCAGAAACAAAATTTCTGTTAACAGCTGCGGCGGGAGACCAGCGTCTCTGACAGGTGACCGTGTTTGGGTTGGCTCACACTTATTTTCCTCTGGACAGGGGACTGTGGTGTGGCAGCAGAGAGCCCCATGATGGTGGGGGGACAGCAGGTAGGCCCTGGCCCAGAATCCCGGGGCTGCGACCTTTGGGGAATCACAGGGCACCACTAGGCCTCAGGATTGCCATCTGCAAGCTTAGGGCGGGTAATGGGCTAGATCAAGGGCTCCTGATGGGGGCTGTGCCCCAGTACCGCCCTCTGGGCTAGTGAAAACACACATGTCCAGGCCCCAGCCCCGGAGGGGCTGACTGAGTAGGCAGGTGCGTGCCTGGGCCAGTACCGCATTTAAAAATAATATTTTTTAAAAAGAATCGTTTTAAGTTTATTTATTTCGAGAGAGACAGTGAGCGGGAAGAGGCAGAGAGGGAGAATCCCAAGCTGGCTCCGCACTGTCAGCACAGAGCCCAAAGTGGGGCTCAAACTCATGAACTGTGAGATGATGACCTGAGTTGAAACCAAGGGTCGGACACTTAACCGGCTGAGCCACCCAGGGGCCGGCGCACCGCGTGTCTGACTGCCTCCCAGGTGGCCATGCAGCCAGGTCCTGGCTGAGAATGCAGAGCTGAACGCCCCCAAGACACCTTCACTCCTGGGGGAAGGAATCCCATAAGTAAGCTGGCTCTTTACCCACGTTAAATGGGGCCAAAAAATGCTTCAAATCCCAGGGATGACCTCTAAGGCCTCTTGAGGACGCGCTTTCACTGGGTGACAGGAGTCCCCTCTCCTCTAGCACACGACCTGGTGTGGTGGGCACGACAGCGGCTCGCGGAAGACGACGGGGCACAGCTGGAACCGCCCTGCCAAGTGGACCTTTCTGCCCTCAGTTCGGGGCTGTTTCCCCCTGCAGAGGGGGCCCCGCCACACTTTTTGGCTGCTTGGCCACCGGGACGAGGGCTGGCTTAAACGTCCACTCTGGTCTTGAACGTAAGAACTGCACCAAAGGGAAGGTCCCCCTACTGTCACGTGTGAGGCCTCACAGGCCGGTCTCCCCCACCTCTGGGGTTCCTGCAGGGAGGCAGAGGGGAAAGTGCGGGGACAAGAGCCAAAGAGACCAGGGTTTGCATCTAGCACCTGCCATGTCAGATATCTGGACATATCGTCCTCCCTTGGAGCCTGAGTTTGAGAAGCAAGAATAGCAGGAAAACAAGATCCATCTTTCGTGGTGGGGACTTGGTTTGAATAGGATGGGGGGCGGGGAGGGGAGCAGTAAAAAGGCCAAGCCCAGCTCCAGTTCCCAGAAGGGAGCTCTGAGCTCACCTTTCAAAATGTCGTGTGGGAGTGGGGTGGCCTGGGAGAAGGCCCAGCGGTCAGGGGAGGGACTGGGGGCGGCCCGCCCTCAGCCACCATGGCCAGGTCCATGGTGCAGGGGCTCTGATGAGCAGGGCCTCCGCGGGGATGGCCTGTGTCCATACGTCAAACCCCAGAGCAAGAGAACTCTGGCACTCGGTCTGCTCTCCGGCCGAAGGTCTGAGCTGACTCTATAGCGTCGTGTGCCTCTCAATTCCAGCTCAGCCGGGGAACGGCTGGGGCGTACGAGCTCCCTTCTTGGCAGACACGGCAGCTTTTGGGGAGCAGCTTTTGGGGAGCTCCGACGGCCACCTCCCGAGGCCGACCTTGCGGGACACCCACCCCTACAAATTTGTGCCCCTCCTGAGCCGTGCTCACTCCATGAAGCAGCTTAGGATTCATCTTTTGACCATTCTTTTTCAGTGTTTAGTCAAGTACGTATCCCAATAACAAAGCCTGAATGGCTTTGAAAAGAGGAAGTTTACGGGCGCCTGGGTGGCTCAGTCGGTTGGGCATCCGACTTCAGCTCAAGTCATGATCTCACTGCTCGTGGGTTTGAGCCCTGCGTTGGGCTCTGTGCTGACAGCTCAGAGCCTGGAACCTGCCTCGGATTCTGTGTCTCCCTCTCTCTCTGCCCCTCCCCCACTCACACACACTCTCTCTCTCTCTCTCAAAAATTAATAAATGTTAAAAAAATTTTTTTAAATTAAAAAAAAAAAGAGGAAACATGATACCAACTACTTGTTCACTTGTTTGTAGTAAGTTAAGGCGAGTCTAGGCAGAGAGTACATTCTTGATGTCAGTGCTGGGATGTCAGTGCTGGGAATGACATTATGAAAAGAACGGTCACTATTGGCAACTTTTGGATCACACAGACCTGTTCCCCTCTGCACTTGCCCCAAATGCCTGCAAACACGCATTCTTTGGCTTTTTCTTTTTTTCTTTAAAGGTTAATCACTGCTAACCAGAACCCTTAGGACAGTTCTCCAGAGTTTGGAAGGCAGTGGTCAAAGAAGTGGCATCCATACCGGTTTTTTGCACCTGCAGCTCCCTTTTGGCTTGTTCCAGGATGGACTTGATTGCTTCATCGGACCCGGTCTCGGAGGCTCGGATCCGGGTCGTGATGTTACCTGCAGGGAGAAGCCACACCAATGACATCAAGCCCATGCACGGGACAAAAGCAAAAACAAAATCAGTGCTGCACGAAGATGTCATTCTGATCAATAGCTCCCGAGTTGAGGCCGGTGACGGTGACCGAGGCAGGCGTGGCCTCCCCTTCACCCGTATCTGATGTGTGTGCAACTTCACAACAGGTACCCGGCCCCGCGCAGGGAGGGCCCCTGCTCCATCTCCCTGGTGTTATCTGGCCAGCGGGACGAGCTCTCACATTTACCCAAACTGGACAGCACCCGTGGGCTGGGGCCAGGGAGAGCACATCGCTTAATCCAGCGCAAAAATAGATGAGGGATTAAAAGGCAGTGGTGCCCGCGGGCCATTTAGACGCAGCCTCAACGACTGTTTTGGCCTGAGACTATGCTCGAGGTTCTGTGCGTCTGTCTGCCGCCAGGATCCCAAAGTAGCAGAGATGGCAAAGGAGGGGGAAGGGCTGATCTCTCATTGGTCATTTGCACGTACAAGGTGGACAGGATGAAATTTAACATTTCGGCATAACGTTTCGGCTCTATTATCCCCGCGCCGCGTCTTAGAAATTTATCAATGAGGGCGGAAGCCTGCAGGGATTCCCTCCAGGGCAAGAATTCTGACTCCGGGTCACTTGGTGAAGCTCTGCCGAGTAGCCAGTCGCAAAGATGCACTGAGGCTACTGTGGCCCGGGGGTGGGGGCGGGGGTAGAGGGCGAAGGGCTGGCCCCAGTTCTTTCTGGAAGCCTTCCACGGATTTTCATTCTCCACTTCTTACTAAGTAAGGCACCTCTGCGCCAAACCACTGCAAGACAAGCACACCGCTGGGGCGAGGCCCCCGTGAATATGCAGCACCAAGGAGCACAGTGGCCACTGGCTCGCCAGGGCCCAGAGGAGACCCGATAATGACATTTGGAATCTGTCCACTCCGTAGCACCGTTAACGTATTTCAGAGTTAGAACGAAGGACAAGGAAGCAGCAGTATCTTATTGCCTCGGGCACCTGATTTTTCTCAGAGCAACAATCCTTAGCTCTTGGCTGCCTCTGAGAAAATGGGGAAAGGCGTAATTTGCACCTGACGGGGAATAGAGGGGGGGCTGGTCTGGTCTGGGGGCGGTGGGGAGGACTGATTCTTAGTGGTGCTTCCCCGCCTCACCTCTTGCGCACCCGGTAGAGTGCAGGCAGCTCAGGAGGAAGGGGCTGTGCGTACTTGCGCCCGTGCTTTGTTTTATACTTACTAGCTGTTTTTCCATCAGGTTCCAGGCCAGAATCACACTGCAGTTTTAACCCAAATGCACAGCTAAGGACATGCTGCTTCCTAGGTTTTACTAACTGCAAAGAAAAACACCTGCCTGCGACATACCTTCAGACCCATTTCTTCGTTTCGGTACTTCCTGAAATAGTCTGTTCAGGCTCTGGCCTGGATTCTCTGTTGAAAAACAAGTGTGGTAAGAACAAAACAATCAGGGGGACGGTGGTGTTGACTATATGGGCTGTGTGACATGGCATCTGAGCCGCCTGTCACTACAGAGAGGGCTCAGGGCTTCCTGTACGCCTCGGGAGTTACTAGAGACTTCGGAGAGGCCTCTCCCTGGCCAGCTGGCCCGCAGAGGCCACGGCTCTGCTGTGGAAGATCAGACAGACCTAAGGACTGGCCCGAAGCACCGAAGCCACAAGGGCCAAAGGGAGGGAGCACTGCCTGCCGCCAAGCGCATCGCCCGCCAGCCCCCGGAACGAAGTGCACATTAATCATCCAAAGACAGTCAATTTCAGCTAACACGGCCACAGAAAGCTCGACGTGCTTTGTGCAAGTCGACGCTGTGGGAAACATCTCCCTCCCCTGTGTGCTGTGTCTCCAGTGTCTGGTAAGATTACCCTTTTCTACCACTGCTGGTGGAATGGAAGGATCCTGTCCTTCAAGAGGGACGGGGATTCTTTCCATCGGGGGTGTGAGTGACTTTCGTCATTTTGTGTAGGGTGGGGGAGGAAGGGTGTTTTCACAGAACTTTCCCGGGTCTTACTCGAGGCAGGTGTGTTGGGCTTACAGGGCTAAGGGAATGGCTGGCAGAAAGTCATGGTGGGGGTAGGGGGGAGAGCTGGCCACAGGACACGCGCCCTATGCGTGTGGGACAAGGAGAGGGCACGTGGCTGCTACGCTCTCCCCACCGGTGGCTGCTCTGGGGCTGGGCGCTACCCGAGGGCTCCTCCCACGCGAGGCCGGCGCCCACTGCCACTCGGACCGCTGGGCGCGACACACATCGGGGCATTGTACTGGATGTCATTCCGCGCGATCTGCTACGTGGCACTTTGGTTCTGAGTTTACTACGTGCGAGGGGCTGGGCGAGTGTCAGACGCCCGGCCCCCCAGATCGGTCGGCCGATCCCCGGCCCCCAGAAATGGTAGCACCGAACGGAATCCGACTTGACGTGAGGCATGGGTGTTTCGGCGCACGCGCACAAAGCTCCGTGCTGCGCGCACCCGCTGGCGCCCAGCCCCGCGCACCCGCTGGCGCCCAGCCCCGCGAGTGTCTCACCTCTTTGTCTGCCTTGGATGCTGCGGAGTGCCAGGATGTTCTGCTCATCCGAGAGGAACTGCTTCATCTTGTGGAAGGGCTCCTTGCCGCGAACGGTCAGTTTATTCCACGGCTTGGGTCGGGCCAGAATCTCGCTCACGGACCCTTGAGACAGTCCCAAGACGTAATGTCCGAAAATGCGCTGTCCAATATTGTGCTTGATCAACTGTTCCTTCACCTGCCGGGCGATTTCTGCAGTGTCTATCTCCTCGCCCTCGGAGACGCTCCCAGCACTTTCAGACTGGCTGGGGGATGGGGCCATGCCATTTACATCTGGGCTCTGCTGTAACGGACTTTGGGAAGATATGGAGTTTGTGCTGTATGGACCTGTTGAAAAAATCACGCTTGTGCTTCCTGCTTCCTGCATGGCCTTGGAGTAGAAGGACTGCATTAGCTGTCGCTGGAGGAGAGAGTTTAGTGCAAATTTTCCCGTAGAAGCCAGGGGCAGGCTGGGGCTTGCCAGGGATGAGCTGAAAAAGTCTTGCGTTAACCCCGTTGGTGAGAACTGGTGGGTACCGTTAGTATTGGAGGCCTGCTCCCCCGTGTTGCGGGGCAACTGAGGAGGAGGGGAGGCCGGCAATCCAGGGCGCTGACTCTCAGGCTGGTCTTTCCCTTTCCTCCTGGCTGACCCTACAAGGAAGGGCAAACATAATGCATTATGGGGGATTCAAAAGGGAAAAAAAAAACCAAGACCAAGATGCAGAGTTTGCCCCACAAAAGGGAAAAAAAAACCAACCAAAAAGTGCGGATTTTACAAGGGCCAATGAGGTGTGTTGGTCTGTTTTTCGATTGAATTTGTAAGTTAGCCAAACAAGGCCCCCCGAAACAGGCAACATGCATTTTATGTTTGCACCTTTCTTGTACGTTGCAGCCTGGAGAGTCCCCTCGACATCGATTTAAAGTCCTACAGTGACAAGGAGCCGGTACCACACACAGTACAGAGTCGACAGGTCGCGGGGCCTCGGATCGGGCCGCTAGCATTCGAGCTACTACCAGAAGGGCCCCGCCTGAGGAGCAGCAAACACTGACATTTTGGGACCAAAGGGTTCTCTCACACCACTTGCTCTGAGGCGAATGCACTGTACCGAGTCCGCTCGATCGAAGGCACGCGCATTTTAAGAACGAAATATCATCGGAGCCCGAGACACTGTTAAACGGTTTACCAGCTGCCAAAACCAGAAGCAGTCAGTGACGCCACCATTTTGGGACGAGCAAAGAAAGGCTAAGGATGGGGATGTCCTCCCAAGGAAAACCTGACGAAGGAAGAAGAGCTCCACTGAGGCTGGCCGGGCCTCTGGAAGCAGCCCCGGAAACACCAACAAGAGAGAGGCCGCACAACTGGGAAAAGACCAGAAAAGCCAACATCCTCCGAGTGTCCCTCCTGAATGTCCCGCAACACTGGCCCTAACTGACCTCCGCAGGCGCCCTGCGGCCACACATCTGGCCTCGACCATCTTTAAGCGGGGCAGAGGGGAGGGGAGGAGCAGTGAGGAGGACCAGGAGGAGACCAAGCACTCATTAGTCAAGGCTGGCAGCAACCGGTGATGTTCCCGTCATGCATCGGCCCCAGACTCACGGTTCACCTTCCTCTTCCTCGACCCCTGAAAGGGACCGAGCTCGGCGTGCGACGCCGTCAACCTACCGCTCAGGTCGCTGTTGGAGATGCGCAGTGCGGCATTCTCGGACTGCAGTGAGCGGTTCTTCTCGAGCAGCAGCACCTCCAGGGGCTTGGATGCGTCCTGGATGGGGCAGAGCAGGGCTCACCGCGGGGCCGGCCACCCTCCCGCGCCCCGGGGCCACCAGGACCCTGCAACCCCTGCTCTGATGGCTCGAGCTACCGGCTCTCCAGGGACTCCGACTTGTTACAGTGATCTGCCTGCCGCTGGCAAAGGCCATGCCCACAGGGGAACTGCTCAAGTTCCTCTCCAAAGGAATGCATTCCGCTTGGAGCTGTCCTTCTTTTACACATGTGGGGCATCTAATCACACTCTATCCTGTCCCCGCCCCGTTCAAGGCGTCTAGACCCGTGCCTCATCTGGCACCAGGAGTGGCTGCCGAGCCGCTGACCTGTCTGAAGGTCACTGCCGAGGTTACCAGCCCCGCTTGGGCACCAGGAGCAGGCTTCCGCTTGGGGCCTTGAAGTCTACGTGGCCACCAGGTAGACAGTGTGCCGCTGTCATCTTGCCCCGTCCCTTTGCCATGTGAGGCGGCAGATAATAAAAGCCAGTCCATTTTGGGTGGGTCGCTGACATAATCTAAAACTGTTTTTAGCCCTGTTCTTAGTGCCCGCCCAAGTGAAATCACAGTGTCATGTGAACAGAGCTACCAGTTTGGAAAACACGGACTCTTCTCGCCTTTTTACATTAAAGATAATGTGCCTGAACTTGCTTAAGTTTCCTGAGAAATTGCTCGTCAGCGGCCGGTGGGAGGTCTCGTAGGAATTTTGAGCACGAGACCCCGCGCCCTGGGGATGGACCGCGGCCGCGGCGAGCTGACCCTCTCCCACACTGGAAGCAAATGAGACCGTGTACCTGTGTCCCAGCTCCCTCGGACGGCGCAAACTCCATGGATTTCAGAATGCTGTGGAGAGCAAGACAGAGCGGTCATTTTCCACGTGGGCCTTTGGCGGCCGCCACACCCGTCATCACTGCACTCCAGGAATGGAGGAACCGACAGCCCTAGCCACCTCCCTGGCAGCATTATAATCTGATAGCGTCTCTAGAAGAGCTATTCAACTAGCAGTTGGCCCGCAAAAGTTTCTTGCCCAGCATGTAAATCATTCCATATGGAATCACACCAGGGCTGTTCAGAGTATAATTTTAAAGTTGAACACAGACATAACATTGTTGCAAGTGGAATGTATTTGTCAAGCTTACAGGGAATGGAAAAGTCGTAAGAAGGAAGCCAGAGAGAGAAAGCTTATCCCTCCTACCTGCCCCTCCCCCCCACCCCGGGGCCCGACGCTCCCTGGGTGCCTGGCACCTGGGCCCAGGGAAATGGTCAAAGAGCGAGGTCCCAAGTTGGATGGCCCAAAGGCTGGCCCACAGACCTGCTCCGTAGCCCTTGGCCATGTGGCGGAGCAGGACTATTTCTTCTTTGTTCTCCTTATCACTGAAATCACTTTGTCCAGGCCTGTTTCAACAAGTCCCACAGCAGAGTTGAGTTCAGGTGCCCAGAACCACGATTTCCAGTGTTCCTTTCAAGGGGACACCCTTTCCTTTCTGTGAGTCCACATGACCTCAGGAGCTCAGGGAGGCGAGTGAGAACCTCCGTGGTCCCAGGCAGTGGGCTACCTGCGCTCTCCCGGAATTCTTACGGCCGTGACTTTGGCATCTGCCCTCCTGAAGCTCCACGGAAGTGTCACCAAGAGAGCATGGTGTAAAAATGCCAGCACCCCAGGAGACCCATCTCTGCCACAGCCACCGTGGCAGCCAGTGAGAAGCCAACGGCTTAGTCTATCTGTGGTTATATCTTCACAGAGTGGCCCTTGTCACGTAGACTAACAAAACAGGAACGAAAGAGCAGCTGGCGGGGAGGGGTGGAGCGGGGGGAGGGAACCTCATAATTTTATTTTATGGTGAGCTATTGAAAATAGTAAGAACTCGGGGCCCCGTTGCATCAGCCAGGAGAGAAGTGACGAGCAGTCTGGAACTTGTCTTTTTTTATGGCCTTCATGTGCGCAACTATATTCTTGTCTGAGATCTTCTTTAAGTAACAAAAGACTGGAGTGAGTCTATAAGCTTATACCCCAAATGCCAGTGTCTTTTCAATTTATTCAGCAAATCTTTACCGATGGCCCCTTAGGTGCCTGGCACTCGGGAGGACTGAGACCACTCTGCCCCTCACCCGTGTGAACGCCATTGGCCATCATATGCATAGAAGACAAAAAATCCAAAGAGTGTGTGAACGTGAAAACCTGGTGGGTGCCCCTGGCAGCAGAAATCCCACTGGGCTGGAGACAGGTCTGTCTTGGGAAGAGTCAGTGTCTAAGAAGGGCCTGGAAGGTATTTTATGGAACGCCAAGGTGGGCAGGGAGCCCGGGGTGTGTGTCTGGGAGGGCACTTGGGTCACCAGGAAGTGGGAGGGCCGGAACATATTTTAGCAGAAAAGCCATCCCAGTGGGGCGTTCAGATGCAGGCATAGGGCCTCGGTACGCGCAGATGCAACAGAAAGGGCCACCGGGAATGCGAGTGCAGTTCTGGGAGAGGATGAGGGCCAGGCTGCAGTGGCGGGGCGGGGCGGGGAGGCTGGGGCGAAGGCCTTCCCATTAGTTTTCGGACTCAACGCTAGAAGGCACCCATGGTTTCCTTTTGAGTGGGAGGAAGAGAGGGAGGAGGGGACGGGAGGACAGGAGAGGCAGATCTAGAAGGCTGGGCCGATAAGAAACATACACCCCACGGTTGGAAGAGGCTGGATCTACATGTCGGCAGGTGTACGGGGCATCCAAGGGGGCGCTGCAGGGCTGCCTGCGGCTAGAGGGGGTGAGACTGCTGGGCAAGGGGCTGGGGAGCCACCTGCAGGGGACTCGCCAGGGAGGCGACAGGAGACCCGGTGGGGAGGAGGTCCACGAGGCCTCCGGCGGGCGGGCGGGCGTCTTAGCAAGCCCGGGGGATGCAGTGAAGAATACAAAGAACAGCATGGCGAGTGGGCGTCGGCCTATTTTAAAAGGAGAAATTAAAAATGTCAGCGAAACAGAGAGGAGATGAGGGGACAGCAGGGGGACAGGAAGGGATCCATCCGAGGTGCGGGTGGAGGGTCAGCCTGGAGGGATGGGAGGGAGACGCAGAGGTCCGAGCGGGGATGTGGAGGCCAAGGGGGAGGCTACAGGACGTCAGGGTGTCTGTGGACGGGCTGGGGGGGGGGCGGTGGCAGAAGGACCCATGTTTCAGCAGCAGCAGAGAGCACGGGCCCACAGGGCGGGGTGACTGACTTCGCAGTGTCTGACGGCCCAGCCACAGAGGCAGGGCTGCCTGGGGATAGACTCTGAAGCCAGATGGGGTGGGGGAGAAGTGGGGCCCTGTGCACTGTGGGGGTGCCCATGAACTCCAGGGCGGGGGCAGCCTGGGGGAGGGAATGTGGGGCGGCAGGGCGAGCCAGGGAGGCCCGCATGAGGAGGGGACTTCTGAGAATGTCAGCCTTAGCACAGGAAGGGGAACAGGCTTTCAGCTGTTGCCTCTTGCGGAGGGCGGGGGGTGGAAGTGGACGATGAGAGAAGAAAGTGCTGGCATCCGCAGGTGGGTGGGTGGGGGTGGGGTGGGGGGAGGCCACATGTACTCTTTCACCGGGAAAGCACTGTCTGCTCCAGGTCAGGGAACTTCTCCCTGCAATGTGGCCTCGTGTTTTACAATTGCTCAAAAGGCAACGTCTCCCTTTATCCTGTGCATGTGGGCCTGTTGTAAGCGCACAGAGTTTTACGGAAAGTCCAGAGAATTCGGGCACAGGCCCAAGTGCAAACGGCTGCAGCACTGGGTGGCCCAGGGCAAGGACCTCCGACTTGCGGGTGGCCAAGCGGGGGTCTCCACTCTTACCTTAGTTCTTTCTTTACTTCCTCATAGTCGGCCTGTCCTTTAAGCTTTTCCTCCAGTTGCTGCAAACAGAAAAAGTTTATTAGTGGCCATGTCTGAACAAGGTGGATGGACTTTGCTAAGAGGCAAATGGTTGTGTCCCCCACCAAACCCCCCAAATGCGTGTGTCGCATCCTAACCCCGCAGGTGATGGTGTGAGGAGGTGAGGTCTTTGGGGGGTGACTGGGGCGTGAGGGGGGAGCTCCGTGAATGAGATGAGCACCCTTATCAAAGAGACCCCACAGAGCTCCCTTGCCCCGCGAGGTATGTGGGGACAGATGGCAGTCTGCGAACCAGGAGGGGGGCCCCCATCAGATACGGAATTTGCCAGAGCCTTGATGCTGGATTTCCAGCCTCCAGAGCTCTGAGAACAAAATGTCTGTGGCTTACACCGCCCAGGTTGGTGTGTTCTATTATGGGAGCCTGTATGGACCAGGACAGCCATCGCCACCTGTAAAACATCTGGCCGGCCGTAGAAATGAATGGTGACGACATGTGGGGTCGCCTGTTGGCCCTCAGGCTTCTGGGCTGGCACGTGTGTGTATGAGTAGCCATGGACGGGTACGAATTGGCACACATGCGGGCGTGGTCACATATTCGCATAACACGTAACCGAAGTGGGATAAGGCTTTACGTAAGTGGAGAACAGAACAAGGAAAAGGCCATTTTGTATGAAATACCGTGAAATGGCAAACAGAATGGAGAGACGTTCTCAGCGATTTAAAGTCAGCGCGTGGCTTTTCCCGAAATATGTTAGGCTGGCTGACACAGGCAGTCACGTGCCAACACCTCTGGCGGGGACCCTGCTAACATGAGGTATAGGTCCTGTCGTGGAGTGCTGGCATCGGGGAAGAGAAGCATTTGCACCCCCAGACACCACCCCCCACCCACAGACATGGGTGTTTTCAGAGTGGAGACCCATCGAGATGTCTTTTTGTCTGAATCCTACGGGCGGGCCCTCACAGGCCCTTCAGTGGGAGGGTGAGGCAGCCCACTCCCCAGGCACCGTGATGCTCCGACGTGCCCCATTAAGGGCTGCAAGCTCACGGGGTGTTGATGTAATTGATTTGCACAGAGCTCTGCAGGGCTTTCTTGCTGCGGGGGCCTTTAGCTCTGGGTGGTCAGCAGAGGATGCGCTCTGCTGTGAGGGTGTTTGGTCTAGTCTGCTCTTGACCTCCTGCAGAGCAGAAGGAAGACAGACCCAGCTGGGGCAGGGGATGGCAGACGACTTGCAGATTTCCAGGCCTGGGGGAGCAAATCCCAGGGCCCGAATCGACAACGCGTTCCCATCTACAGGGTTCTGAGTGGGCTGGCCATGACCACAGCCACAGTTTAAGGACGGCTGAGAGAGAATGTTCTAAAGTTTGGGGAAGAGACGCCCATCTGGCCCATCAGGCTTGACACTCAACCTGCACCTCAGTCTGCCCGCTGTTAAAGGATTCGGGCGTTCTGTAAACTAAACTCATTTCGCTCATCTTTTCCTGTTGCCTTTGCTGGCAGTTTCTTGTGTATCCCTGTGGTGTAAAACCGTTCTGCCCTGGTGCCTTTTTCATGACCCCTTGTCAGCTGTGTAATGGTTTCTCATTCTCATCAAACAGGGGGTAGCAGCCACTCCTCTTCTAACACGAGGGGTTGAAGGAGCTCTGGAAGAAGTGATTACTTCCTTCCCCTATAATCGAGCGCAGGGAGCACCCCTGAAGGAAAGATGGCTTGCGGTCACGGGGATGTAAAGCACCTTTCAGATTGCAGTTCATGAGTGCTGGATTTGGGACACACAAAGTTTGGTTGTGTTCAGGGATCATGAGAAAGACAGGAAGGAGGACAGTGCGAGGGGAAAATACGGAGCCCTTCAGAACCCGAGGCGGCGCTGAACCCGGAGTCAGTTCTGTCACTTACAAGCCGGACACCTTGGGGCTCGGTGATAAGTGTTTCATCTGTGAAATACGGGAAGGGCAGCAATGACCTCAAAGGGCTGAGCAGAAGAGCATAGGGCAAGGTCCTGATGTAGATGAGGTGCCCCAGGGCCTTTGATGCGGGCCTGTCATCACAGCCCAGCCCCCCAGGGAGCACAGCTTTGCAGACCTGTGACAGGCCCTAATTAGAAGGTTTTAGGACTGGAGGCCTGTAACTTGGTCGGAGGTGACATTTTTCGCTGAGAACTGAAATAGCTTTTGCTGAAATTTCTGTCATCTCCCCAGGGGCATCTTAATCAAGAAGAACCCAAGACCGTTTCTCTAAACCTCTGATGTTCATTTCTCTGGGCAGACGGCTGGATGCGGGCCAGGCAGGGCTGCCTGACAAAGCCCATCCCGACCTGTGAGCACCTCAAGCCCATCTTCACCAAGGCCTCTGGGGCGTGTGACGTCCCCAGAGCCACACTCGTATAGTGGCGTGAAGGGGCAGAAGATGAAGGGTCCTCTGCTTGGGCTTCTGACCAGGAGCTCCCTGCTGAATGCGTGTGAAGTTTAGTTTCCAAAACTCTCAATCTGGAAAGGGCTACAGGTGCTCCGTCTGCTGTTCTCTGTGGAGGAAGGCTCCTTCCAGATTTTGCTGGTGCTCCTCAGGGTGGGCCGGTTCCGTGTCCCAAACACAATCTCGTTTACTTGTGGTGTCACTTCTGCAGAGGTGGCTGCCTGCCCAGAGGGCAAACAAATCACCGGGTTCTACGATCAGACCTAGTTAGAACAGAGGCCACTGCACCTGCTGGCAATTCCAGGAGGAACTGAGAAGCCTCATTGCTGAGGCCAAGCCAGGCGCTCGCTGGAAGCTGGGGCCCCAGAGCCCGACAGATGAGGGCCAAGGCCTGGCTCTGCCACTTTGTTGCGGGGTGACCTTGAACACGACACTGAACTTCTCAGTTTCTTCACCTGTAAAACGCAGATGCTACCTTTATAAAAGACACCTGTCTTATGCGGTGTCTGATGTGGGCGCCCCAAGCTTTGGGGCCACCAGCTGAAGGGGCCTCTGCTGCAGAAACCCTTGGGAAGGACTTTCTTCTGGCTGGCTCCACAGGGGTCAGGGCAGTAACATATCTTTGCCACAAAGCAGATGGCAGGCTGGTCAGGTGATGGCGCTGCTGCGTGCAGACACCTCCATCTTTCCCTCCAGATGGTCAGAGCCAGACTTTTAGCAGTGTTCTCTTAGGATCGGCAGCACCGGCCAGGGGCATCGGGGTGTGACCCCTTGTCTTCACGGGGACCCCTGGACTGGGGGGCTCCCAGTCACGAATGAGGAGATGTGACCAGGCTCCCAGTCCATGGTGGGGACAGGGGGAGAGGGTGTCTGAGGCCCAGCCCCTCAGGTAGACACGGCATCTCTGAGGTCCAGGCTTAGGCTTCCACCTGCACGGGAAGCCCGTTTGGTATCTGCGGTTCCTTGGGGAGAGGTCGCAGGTATGCAAATTCGAGGCCTATGGATGCTGGGGGTGGCGGAGTGGGGGGAAGCCCAGGGGCCCCAGTGTGCACAGGGTCGGGCCATGGAGGGGCAGTGACAGTTACACTGGAGGGCTCGCTCCCATCACTTCTGGTTTCCATGAGCCGTGGTCCAGGGGTGACCCACGCAGCCAACTCCTCATGGAATGGCGGCGCCACAGACCAGGAGGGTCCAGGCTCCAGGCTCAGGCCACTGGGACACTGACCATCATGGGCCACTAGGCATGCCGCGAGCCGGGGGCAGCCTGCAGGTGACCGGGCATGGGTGCCTTGCCAAGAGGACTCGCTATAGGTTCCCGCAAGCCCTCGGCTCCCGAAAGCATTTCCAGAAACGGGCCCAGCCTTCTGGAGGGGCCCACTTGTGGTCCCCAGTTCCCCCCTCAACCCTCACATGGCTCTCGAGGCCGCTAGCACAGAGCCCCCCCAGTGTTTGGGAGACTGAGCCCAGCGTGATCTCCCCTGGGGCCTCACCGCCATGGCTGCGTAGATCGCCTCTGCTTCCTGGGCCAAGGCCATCTCCCCCCTGGCTCCCACCGCCATGGAGCCTCCTTCTTTCCTCTCCCTGAATCTGCGCTCCCACGGTCTTCAAGATCCAGCCAGGACAAGGCATGGGGAGCTCGGGTTCGGGCTCGCCTGTGCCGTCCAGGCTAGGTCACTCCTGCTGGCAGGCAGGCGTGGGCACGGGCCTCTCCTAACCTCAGTGACCTCCTCGGTAAGACCGGATCATCATTACACCTGCCTGTGTGGTGAGCCCGAGACGCTGAGAAGATGCTCCCTGAAACGGTACGGAAGGCGGCCTCAGTGCAGAGCGAACCTGCTGCCAGTGAGGCCGCGTCCAGGATCAGAGGCATCGAGTGAGGCTACAGAAGTAGTTATTACTTTTTTTTACCCTGGCCCAACCCCCAAGGGACAAGGCGGGCTCCACGGTGGCTCAACAGGACCTTGCAGGAGATAGGGGCAAGGGGGACAGAGTTGGGGAGGCGTGTGGTCTGGAGACAGCCCCCCCCCCACCAGGTGATTCTAATACACCTGCCCACCCCTCTCCCCCTCAGTGGGGAAGTACCCATCTTTAGAAAATATAATTTCTCCTCCTGGGAGGCTGGCATTCTTTTAGCTAGCCTTTCTTATAAATAGCCATTTTAAATGGAAGCTATTTATTGGAGCATTATTTCCTGTGCTTTAGCATGTACGGTGCAGGTGACTGCCTAATTATCCTGCCTCCGTATTGAAGAGCTCCAACCGACCACAGAATAGAGTTATCAAAAATAGCAGGCTTGTAATGGCAGTCGGGTTATTTCATTAATTACAAATACAGAATTACCCTGTGCAAGAGGCGCAGTGCTTGAGCACTTGTCAGATTAGACAGGAAGAACCATCGCCCACTTCTGAGTGCATTTCGGTGTCTATTTAAAGGTTAGAGGGTGCACCACTCTGTGTGGATAGCGATGTGTTTAGGGTGATCTTGGCTTGAGAAAGTAGAACCTGGGGGAGTGGGGTGGGGGGAGAGAGACTGGAAAACATCCACCTGTCAATCTACCCTCATGGAGTTGCCAATCGACTGTTTAGGCGAAGGGAGGAAATACTGGTGGCAAGAGATGGAGAGCTTCAAGGTGTCAGAGAGAGCAAACCGGGGAGTCCCCAGGTACATCCATTTCAGGGTGTGCCACTGTGTACTGCTCGAGAAACCCCGAGAAGAGCCAAACGACATGGCCCAAGAAGGAAGGGGCTGGTTGGGGTGGGAGAAGGAGGGGGAGGGGGAGGAAAGGAAAGCCCCAGGGGAAGTTCAGGTGCAGCTCCTGGCTGCTTCTGAGAAGCTACTGCTCTACTGATGCTGGGTCAGAAGCCCTCCCCTTCCCCCTCCCCCCCATTGCAAGAAAGCAGCAGAAGGCCCATTTGACAGGTCTCATTCATATTTTCTTAATAATTGTATTGCTGTTTAGTTTAGATTTGAGACTATAAATTATACACACTAGGAAAAAAAAAAAAGCCCTGGGAAGGTATCTCGTTCAATGAACCTCACTCCTTTGGGTGGGGGGAGGGAGAGGCACTTGTTTTGGGGAGGCTCACGCCTTCTGTGTGTGGGTTCGATATTGGGGAGATCTTCACTCCTGGTGACAAGGGGTTAAGATAATTAGAATCAGAGAAGTCTTGTTAGTAGAGGATCTGTTTTGATTATTAGATCAGATGAAGATAAGGGAGCGGTAATTTTGGAAGAAGTATTGCCAAATTGTTTCATTAACTGCACCGTATTAAAGAATTCCCCCAAGATACGGGTAAAGAACATTAATTTGTGAAACTGCGTTTCATTTTTTTTTTTTTGAGAAGGCAAACATTAAAACCTTAACTGATTTAAAAGAAATTGCTCTATAATAAAAAATGTAAGGTCTATAGCCTTCTTCTCATAGTCAGATGCAGGACTGTATTGGAGTCAGACCCCTTAACGGTAACAAAGGAGAGAAAGGCAAATTATCTAATAATAATGCCACTGCTGGGGTCAGAAGTGGCTATAACATGAGAAAATTAGATTTAATACAGAAGTAAAAAATGAGTGCTGGTGCTCACTGGGCAGGCTGATGGGAGAGTAAAAAACTCAGAAGAAATCAATGTCACGGGGCTGATGACAAATGTGACCGGGTCTCAACCTTCTCCCCAAAGTCAGCAGGACTGGCTCTCCCGAGGGGCCCAGGCACCCGGCGGTTTCTCGGACGGTGGGTGCCCTGAGCCAGCGAGGTCAGGCCAGCAGGCTGCCGGGAGCACAGACCTGCTGGAAACTCAGCTCTAGCTCAGAGACAGGGTCATGCGCCGGAAGGATAATGTCAGTATTAAAAAAAAAAAAAATCCAAATGGGCCTAACTATATTCTGGAAGTACTTTATACAAGAGAAAGTTTCCCTGATGTTTTTTTCCTAACTCCTCTGGATGCGCTGCATTTATTTATGGATGGCTGTGCTTGGCTGTCACTCGGGCGCTCTGCGCACAAAGTGGGGCAGGACAGAAGGCCCCGGAGGGCGTCGTGCAGGCAGGGGAGGCACAGCGGAGCGGGGGCCACACGTCACTAGTCCTGTCACCTATTGTCAATAAGACACCTCCAAGGAGGCCCTGTGGTCCTGGTGCACCAGAAATCTAGGGTGCGAGGATTACCTTCATGGTACGCTAACTGCAACAGGCTGGAAATAGCTTAAATCAAGTATTTAAGTATTTTTTTATATATATATATATTTTTTTTATTTATTTCTAGGAGAGAGAGAGAGACAGCGTGAGCAGGGGAGGGTCAGAGAGAGAGGGAGTCACAGACTGAAACAGGCTCCAGGCCCTGAGCTGGCAGTCAGCACAGAGCCCGACGCGGGGCTCGAACCCACGAACCGCGAGATCATGACCCAAGCGAAAGTCGGACGCTCAACTGACTAAGCCACCCAGGCGCCCCAATATTTAAGTATTTTTAAACAATGTACCAAAAGGTAAGCAGAGCTGGATGAAGGGCACGTCTGTGCAGACAGTCTGCGACCTTGGCCCTTGGCAACTGCTTGAACCCTTCACCGGCCAGTGTGTAAAATGGTGGCCTGACAACCCAGCTTGGGAAGCGTGGCAGTGGCTGGGCACTGGGGACGGGGCCTTCTCCCAAGCGCTGCCTGCAGGGGATGGCCCGTTGAGGGCAGTGCCGTTCAGGCAAGAGCTGGGAAGGGTTCAAAGGCACTCTCCCTGTCTTCGGCTCGAGGACCCTGCGTCTAGCTCCCTTGTGGAGGTTCAAGGTTTCCCTACTTGCGGTCAGTTCCAGACAAGATGCTTTCCAGAAAGATCTGATGGCCCCAGTGCATCCAGGCTTCGGACAGATGTGTCCAGGGGAACCTCGCTGTTCTCACCAGAGGAAAAACTCTGCTTGATGATTGGAGTTGAGACTGAGGAGAGCCCAAGAGGTCACTCTGGCTCTTTAGCGGAGAATGAATTCCATCCATTACCCACGCAGATCGCAAACATGAGATCTACTTATGCGACAGCCACAGCGGGGCGAAGGAGGCGGCTTCTGGGATGAGGGCTCTCGCCACGGTCACCACACACTCTCAGCACATGTCCCCGAGGCCGGGGACAGAGGTGACCCGCTGGAGGGCTGTGGGTGTCAGTGGGGAGCCAGCTGGCCCCAGACTCCCTCCAGGGCCGGGTGCGGAGGAAGGCAGGGGTGGCACATGCGCGCGCAGGGGTGGCCCTCCCCCGGCCCGTGGCCCCCGGCGCCCTTACTTTGAGCGTGCTGTTCTTGGCACTCAGCTGCTGCTCGAGCTGGGAGATCTGGCTGGCCGAGTTCTCACGCAGCTTCGTGAGGCTGGCCTGAAGCCGCTGCACGTCCTCCACCAGCTGGGCGATCTCCCGCTCTTTGGCGGCCAACTCCACTTCCAGGCTGGAGCGGGTCAGCACCTCTATGGCCTGCTCCTGCAGGGGAGAAAGCACGTGACAGAGCCGCCCGGGCTTCGGGCAGGGTGTGGGCAATGACACCCAGGCCGAGGGCGGTGGACGGTGAGCTCGGGGTGAGCCGCGACCGCCTGCCCCGCGAGGGTGGACCCAACGCCCTCCCTGTACCACCTTCCTGTGCACACGGCAACCGCGGCTGGATTCGGGCGAGGACAAGGATTTACTGGGTGCCCTTCAGGAACCAGGTGCAAACGGTAAGCACAAGGACGACGGTCCCTGTTGTTCCTGAGCATCTAGTCAGTGGGAGGAGGCCGGGCCTGTGAGACGCACCAGGTACGCTGGTCAGTAGCATAAAGAGCATTGGAACTAGGCCACCAAGAAGCTGAAGTGGGGGAGGGGCACGGGGTCAGACTTGGGCGAGGTGGTGGGGTTTTATGGATTTGTATTTTTTTAAAGTATTTATTTTTGAGAGAGAGAGAGCAAGCACACGCAAGTGGGGGAGGGGCTGAGAGAGAAAATCCCAAGCAGGCCCCGCACCAAGAGCACAGAGCTGACATGGGGCTTGACCGCATGAACGGTGAGACCATCACCTGAGCCGAAATCAAAGGTCAGATGCTTAACCAATTGAACCACCCAGGCACTGGGATCTTATTAAGATTGTCAGGAAAAGCCCCACTGACCCAGTGACGGCTGTGCAAAGATCTGAAGAAGGTGACAGAAAGGGTCCTGCTGTGTGCTGGGGGCATGAGCAGGGGAGGGGCAGAGAGGGAGAGAGAGACTCCCAAGCAGGCTCTGTGCTGTCAGCACAGAGCCTGACACGGGGCTCCAGACTCACAAGCCGTGAGATCATGACCTGAACTGAAACCGAGAGTCAGACACTCCATTGACCGAGCCCCCCAGGCGCCCCCGCTTCATGGGACAGAAAACACTGGCAGCTACGGCCCCAGCTGGCAGGTGCAGGCAGTCCATCCCATGCATGCTGCGCTGGCCACAGAATTCTCATGCTGGGGGACGGCCCGACATCAGGGAAATAATTTTTCATACCTCCCCCCCGGAAATTAAGGACTTTATCATTTAAGAACGTAAAGTTCTGTGTATAAAGGAGTGACTCTTTTCTGTTGCTTGGGTTTGTACTGTATTGTGAAGTGGGTTCCTCATTCCCCTGACTTCTGGCCGGCGTGCACGTGGCCCTAGCAGGCGTCCTCCCGGCTTATTTATAAAAGGCGTGCGCTGTCCAGATCAGCTCTGTTCAGAGTGTGCTCCATGGCCCCGTGCCAGCGCAAGGCTGTTGCTGATATGGGGACACGTGCAGAGACGTGCAGAGTGAGCACTTAGAAGCTTGTATTCGGCATTGTGGTGACACGGTCTTTCACAAGGCCTTCGGTCTGCCGCGGATCGGGAATGAACAAGCGAACGAAACCCATCCTTGGCCACAGAGTTTGGGAAGCACCACCCCAGCCAACGAGGAGCCGTGGGGACTTGAGACGAGTCCTCCTGGCAGTGCCTGAGACACCAGTGACAGAAGCACCTGGGAGCCGTGAGACGGACAGAAGGGGGTGGCAGGGCTGCCAGGAGTTGTCAGAAGGAAGAGGGGCTCCGTTTCAGGGTGGGGGCATCACAGGAGGGCAAGGAGGGTGGGGAGAGCAGAGACAGGGCATGGAGGGGAGTGATGCCGAGACCACCTCGAAAAGGACTGAGTCCTTTGCCACCTGCTGGTGACCGACTGTTTGGAAGGGCAGCCAGAGGCACGTTGTGGTGGCGGGCTTGAGGGAGCAGGGAGGGGACGTGATGGGAGGGATATCCGGGGAGGTCAGACTCACGGGGGTAGAGATTAGGCCACAGTATCTCATTTATCAATCAATTTTCCAACCTGAGGGATGCCAGCCATGATAACGGTTTCAAGTGCTCTCAGGGAGAGTCGGTAAAACAAGCCGAATGGCGGGATCTGGGGTTTTAGATGGGCAAGGGCAAGTTCATGGACCAGGGATAAGTGGTTCACATGATATGTGTAAAAACAGCAGCTCTCAGTGCTGAATCTGGACTCAGGATGGGGACTTGGGGGCAGGCAGTTCCAGGGGGCCTTCTGCTCAATGCCAGGGGCCTAGTCTGGCCTGGCCACAAGCTGGCTGTGTGACCTTGGGCACATCAACTACGTCTCAGGCACCCAGGCCAGATTCCACATGCGTAACACAGCCAGAGCCATTTGTGTCTTACATAAGCAGAATGAGATGAGATCATCCACCCAAAAGCAGTAAGACCTTGGAAGTAAGACAGAGAAGCTCGTTCTACTTGAGGCCCAAACGTGGCTCACCTCCTGGCTGCCCTGTGGTGAAGACGCACGGGCGATAAGGAAGAAGCAGACAAGGGCCCAGGAGACGATCACAGAAGGCCACACGGCCGGCTCCCTTATGTCTGTCTGGGCCTCAATTCAGCTGCACCCGACTCACCCAGGGGCTTCAGCAAATGTATGGGCCCTGGGCTCAACCCTGGAGACAGAGGCTCAGGGGATGTGGGGTAGGGACCCAGGGACTCCCTGGTGAGTCTCACGGGGTTCAGGGTCAGGACCCTGGCTTGGACAAGCTACTTAAGGAAGGAAGAGAGACTGCCTTCTCCAAGTCTGACAAGAGGCCCGGGTGGGTGCCACAGCCAGGCCCCCAGAGGGGGTCCTACACTCTTCATGGGTGCCAGGTTGTGGGGGTGGGGGCTCTGGCGGCTCAGGAGCCAGAGAGGATGCGTGCAAATACTCTGTAGAGTCTAAAACCACTGTAGGGGCACCTGGGTGGCTCAGTCGGTTCAATGTCTGACTTTGGCTCAGGTCCTGATCTGCGGTTTTTGAGTTTGAGCCCCACATCGGGCCTTGTGCTGACAGCTCAGAGCCCGCTTCAGATCATCTGCCCCCTTCTCTCTCCGCCCCTCCTCCACTTGCACTCCCTTTCTCTCAAAAGTAAACATTAAAAAAATAAAATAAGCATTATAAAAAGGAGGTGCCTGGTGGTTTAGTCAGTAAGTGTCCCGACTCTTGATTTAGGCTCAAGGTCATGGTCTCAGTTTTGGGAGTTCGAGCCCTGCGTCAGGCTCTGTGCTGGCAGCATGGAGCCTGCTTGGGATTCTCTCTCTCTGCTCCCCCCCGCCACTCATGCGGTCTCTGTCTCTCTCAAAATAAATAAACGTAATCCCCTCCCCCCCACAACTGTAAAAAGAAAAGGAAGGCCTTAAGATGAGGACAATCCAAAGGGAAAAAAAGAACATAAAAGCAGAAGCTACTGGTGGAGGACCCCACGGAGTTATGTCCCTTTGAACCCTGTTCACCTCCCCTCTGTGTGTGTCTGAGTCTGAGTCCTTGATAAGTGACATAATGAGCTCTTTTATCTGGAGGTCATTTCCATATCAAATAGGAACGGGTTATCAGAGCCTATGCGAGACAGGGAAAATCCAACTGGGAAACAGACATTGCGCCTAGGACCCCAGACTCAGAGGCTGATGCCTGCACCTGGGCTAATAATACCTTACTCAGATTTACCCCAGCAGGGGAAGATGAGGCCACAGGGACCTCGGCTGTACTCCTCTTTCCTACTGACCTGCTGTATTTCTGCCAGCAGCAAGTGGCCAAAAGTAGGCCGATTCCATCTGGTGGATTCACCTGGGAGGTTCACCTGATAGATGGGTGTGGTTCCTACTATTACGGTTTGTTTAGGGTCAAGGGGTGGTCTGGTGTGGTGCCCCAGAGCCCTGAACTAATACTGGTCTAGAAAGACTCGGCAAAGGACCCGTCTTGAATATGTCCCGTCTCATTCAACACACATGACGGAGAGCAGCTCGATGTGGGGGGAACCGAACGCTTTATGGAGCAGGATGGCTTGGGATCGAATTCCTGCTTGGCCATCTTCTAGCTCTGTGACCTTGGGTAAATCACTGAACTCCTCTGAGCCTGTTTCCTTGCTTGTAAAACGAGGATAATAAAACCTACCTCTAATGACTGTGGTGTCTCAAGGCATAGATGAGACAATCATATAAAGCCCCGGCGAGGCCCCTAACGCAGAGCAAGAACGCGCCGAGAGGCGGCTCACCTTCCAGAACGGGCGATTCTGTTTAAGACACCCAACGGATCGGTTTTGGCTTTTGCTACATCGATAGACTCCAATGCTTCTCTGCCGAGTCCTGCCAGCCAAGCCCAACAGATATTTTCCCGCTGGCCCAGTTTCCTATGTTTGCTCCCCGACGGGCTGGGGCTGGAGCTGCTGGGAACGCACGCCCGGGGGTGGGGGTGGGGGGTGGTGGTGCTGGCAGGGCCGCTCTTAGAAGACTGAAGCGGGGCCATGTAAACACTGCACTTAGCCCATGATGAAGTGTTTAAGCGCCTCAAGGACCCACAACTGACTCTACCTGCAAAAACATTCATTTCCTTCTGAAATGTTTTGGTTGCGGCAGCCCAAGACGGTGCCAGAAGCCCTGCCATCACAACCTGTAGCTCGGGAGGCCCCTGGGGACGCTCTAGGACGGCGGCTTTCTCCGGAGAACCCGAGGCAACCGCAGAGGCCGTGAGAGGCCGCACCGGCTCCTTCCTCGAGGGCTGCCTCCCGCCTTGGCCATGGCGCTGGGTCCAGGGAGGTGCGCTTGGAGCAGGGGACGGTGACAGAGCCCGCGGGACAGTTCAGGTGAAATATCAGGGTCCATGAAACTGGGATGGCTCGAGTGAAAAATTTTTGTTTTCTGAAAACCGTATGTCATGTTTTCTTTAATATTAACTAATTAATGTTATTTTATTTTTTTTTATTTTTTAAATGTTTTTTATTTATTTCTAGGAGAGAGAGAGAGAGAGAGAGAGCGTGAGCAGGGGAGGGCCAGAGAGAGAGGGAGACACAGACTCTGAAACAGGCTCCAGGCTCTGAGCTGGCAGTCAGCACAGAGCCCGACGCGGGGCTCGAACCCACGAACCGCGAGATCATGACCTAAGCGAAAGTCGGACGCTTAACCGACTAAGCCACCCAGGCGCCCCTAATTAATGTTATTTTAAATGATTTTTAAAAATGTTTATTTCTGAGAGAGAGACAGTGCAAGTGGGGGAGGGACAGAGTACTGGAGGTGGGCTCTGCACTGACAGCACAGAGCCCAATGCAGGGCTCAAACTCATGAACCATGAGATTGTGACCTGAGCCAAAAAAGTTGGACGTTTAACCCACTGGGTCACCCAGGTGCCCCTAATTAATTAATTTTAAAAATTTAATGTTAACTTAAAGAAAGACTATGAAAACCCATTCTTTTTAAAAAAATGTTTAACACCTTATTTATCTTTGAGGGGGGGGAGAGAGAGAGCGAGCAGGGCAGGGGCAGAGAGAGAGGGGGGCACAGAGCCCATTGTGGCGCTTGAACCCATGAACCCTCATATCATGACCTGAGTCGAAGTCGGATGCTTAACCGATTGAGCCACTTGGGGGCCCGAAAACCCATTCTTAAAAAGGGGTCCCAGCACTAAAACTCTGCTTTAGGTTTGCTCCTAGGGAATAATTTTACAAAGACCCAGTCGAGTCCTGGCTTAGCCCCTGGGGGCCAAGCGTTTTGGAGGAAGGGGTTCCCACTCCAGAACCCCCGCTTCTTCCTCTAGGTAAAGATATGAAACATCTGCCTCACAGGTGAAGGTGGAAAAACGGCCGTCTGGCTGACACATGAGTTATCACAGCAGCAAGTCTCCAGTTAGACTGTGCCCTCTCTGGAAGGGTCTGGCTCCCCCCTCGCCCTCCCTTGCTCTTCTACTGTCCACTGTGGGTCCCGGCACATGGCGGGCGCTCTGTACCTCTTTGTTAAAGAAAAGGACTCTTATAGGCACAATTCACCCACCACAGGCGACAAGAGCTAAAGGGCCTCAGGGCTACTCACTCCTACTCTGCCGATAAGGAAACTGGAGGCTGCACAAGTCTGACTACCTGAGGGCTGTGAGCAAACAGGTGACGAGTCAGAGCTTTGAACTCAGGACTCCCGGATCAGAGCTGGCGAGGCCAGCCACAGTAAGAGTAACCGCTAGAGCAGACTGACACAGACTATGGGTCAGGCCTTATTTGAAGCGATTTGCTCATAAGAATGTCCTGAACCCTTACAAAACCAGTGATGAAATAGGCTCAGGGAAGGTAAGCTACTTGCCCCAAGTCACACAGCTGAGGAAAGGCATGCGGTGCTGGGGTGCGGCGCTGGGGTCTGACCCCAGGGAGCGGCTCCAATATGGAGGTTTTCACTACTTGCTGCCCTAAATCACTGCACGGAGCCGAAGGCGAGAGCCTGTAACCTGATAGGTCAAAGCTGCCTTATTGAGCTGGGAAAGTTCTGGCTGAGAACAATTTTTTTTAATCTTAGAAAAATCCAGAACCAAAGAAAGGACTGAGACGTGTGCCTCACTCCTTCGGAATGCTGGCACTTCCAGAGAGATTCTGCTCTTACGCAGCCTCAGAGCGCGTTACCTGCGTTATTACCTCTTAGGCCCACCCTGCTCATCACCAACTGCTTTTTCATTCTGAAAGGACACACCGAGGTGAAGACCAAACCTCCTATTTTCTGGTGTACTTCTGGCAAGGCTCGTTTCATGCCCCCAGCCCCCCGCCAGCCGTCTCCCCAGGGGCCTGACGGGGAAGGCACTCTCTCTGGGGCGGGGAGGGTTGTCTCCCGTCATGGCCTCTATGCTGGGCTGGTGGCCAGGCAGCACCGATGTGCTATCAGCAGGGCTCTTCCTCTGACCCTAACAAGTCCCATCCCCAGACTGTCCGAAGCATTCTGCACCGACCCAGCATTACTGGTTACGGTATTTCCCCCCAAATGGAACACTCGCGGCACAGAGGTGCGGATGCGAGGCCGACAGGGTCCCCACAGGGCCAGGCTACCCACCACGTCCGGCGCCTTCTGGATTTGCGAGGCCAGCTGGAGAGAGTGGTTGGCCGACGAGAGCTGTCCCCGCAAGGTCTCCGCCTCTCTCTGGGCCACCTCTGCCCTCTGAAGGAAATGAAAAGAGTGAGAAGAGAAAGTACATTCAGTTTAACAACTGACAATTATTACAAGAACATTCATCAATTCATGCCTGACTGACTATAATTGATTTTCCTAAACACTCAACCTAATAAATGCTGGAAAAAAACATAGAATGTGATGGATTTTTATTTTAAACAGTACAAGGAAGAAATAATTGAGCGATTATGACAGTAATTTAACGCTAGGAGCAAGGAGTCCCCTGCTGATACTAATGCTCCGGCCCACTGCATTTCCCAGACTGAATAAATACAAGTGGAAATAGAGTCTTTTGATTCAATTTCTTTCTATTCTCATAGACCAAGAAGATTTTATTGCAGGATCACTCCTGGGAGTAATTCTCACGGGTAAACAGTGAATTAAAGACACTTTGGCCGTTCTTTTCCTAAAAACACGCACAATGTTGTGGTTGTTTTCCTTCGGCAAGTATTTCCATAAACGTACAGGGTGTAAATGTCACTTTTTTTGGGAGGGCTGGGCTTGTTTCAACATATTTAACCCTTCACCTGACCAAGCTGACCGATGCCGGCACTGCCAGGTGGCCAGGGCCGCCCGGGGCTGGGGCAGGAGGGTGGCCCTGGGCCCACAGGGGGTGAGGAGAAAGGGGGCTCGAGGAGGAAAGGGTGGACCTGTCTGCTATTCGCATGTCATTCCCGGATGAGAACTGGATGGCAAAGCAGGATGTCCCACTGGATGGGACTGGGCCACGCCAGCGCCCTCCGCCACAAGAAGACTTCATGGTGCAGCAGCAGAGGGACCGGGGTGAGTTACCTCTGCCCACCTCTGCGCTACCTTCCCCATTAGAACTGGGGACACCGTCACCTTCTCAGGGACCTCGCGGGGATTAGCATCCGCCGAGGCGTACTGTACACACAACGCAGCCACAAGTGTTTTATGAATGTGCTCGTCCTAATGCTGTAACTACGAGGGGGGCGGAACCCTAAGATGGGTGGAGAACGGCAGCCCCGGCGTGCGGCCGGCAAATCCCACGCTGCCTCTTTCCACCCACCTCACGTAGCGCTCATAGAAGAGATGAACAAGGAAAGCCTGGCTGAGCAGGGCTGCTCCATGTGTTTTCTGGTTGTGCGGCATGACAGCACGTGTCGACTCGTTGCTGAAAGAACTGAAGAAGGGAATCCAGAAGGGCCCCGTCAGTCGAGCTGGCTGGGGCCTGGGGCCTGGCAGCCCTGGGCGATCCTGACGCATGCTTGCTCTGCGAATCTATCTCTGTGGGCAGACAAATTAGGGTATTTCTGACAGCAGTTCCTTCCGCCCTGGGTGGTGCTGATGGCCGTCGGCCCGGCTTCTCCAGGGGCGCCTGGAGCCTCACCCCATCTAATTCACATGGCGCCTGGCCAGGCCCGTCTGTGCTCACACAGCCGCCTCCCACCCTCTGCTCCAAACAGAATCTAGAAGGGCCCGTCGGGAAGAGAAAGGCGACAATGTGACCGGCGTGGCGACGATGGCAGGGGTGATCTCTGGTTCACTTTCTGCAGAAAGCCTCCTCTTCAGTGAGAAAGAGTTCCAGATGGGCCACTCCACGTTTTTCTGATAATCCCGTTGTTGCGACTGAAAAATTTACTCTTCCTTTCCTAGTCGGCTGAACCCTTGGGCATAAAATCTCCACAACTCTGCCAGGAATGAGGTGTTCTCTGACTTATTTCTAGTATCTCTGACCAGGAAAACTACTTCTTAGGCTAGTGGAGAAGCTGTTCTGGGAGCAGCCAGTGAGGCCACGCCGCCCACCTTGCCCCGCCTGGGAATATTCTGGAACCAGCAGAGCTTGGGCAGGCCCAGGCAGCCAGTTCACGGCAAGGCTCTCATATGGACATTTAGCTGTCCACCCCCCCGCCCCCCACCTCAGGTTGGGCCGTTCACAGAACAAGGGATCTGGTTGTTGAGGATTTTTTCCTCGGTTTGCGGAATTTCTCCAGAGCTTCAGCACCTCATCCTGTCTCCAAGTTCATGTGCAGAGTCACTCTGTGGCCTCTCCATGGTGGTTGCGGCCTTTTCTCACATTTGGCTTGACTTAGTTACTTCAGGGCAGCGTTTTGACGGTTTAGAGTTTTTAGGATTTGTTTGGGACTTATGCCCTGAGGGCATCAAAAACCACACAAAAGGAGCTGAGATGGCTTGCACATCAAAACAGGCACAAAGCAGACTAAAAAACAAAAACAAAAAACACACAAAAAAGCAAGCCTAAAAGCAGCTGAAGGATGGAGTGGGAGCAGCCAGGCAGAATTCGCTCCTGCAGCTCTAGGTTCAGGGTCACTGCTGGCGGCGGAGACGGAAAGAAGGGGTGCTGCGCGGTCACCTGCTTGCAGGGCCTCCGTCTTCCTGAGGACCACAATCCAGCCAGATGAAGGGTTTCTAAGAACTGGCATCAGCGATGGCAGGCGGGAGGCGGCGGGGTTTTCTGACCCAGAAGCCCAGACACGGAGCTGAGGCTGCCACGAGACCCCTAGCTCCTTCCTCGCCCCTCCCTGCCCGGCCCAGGTAGAGCTGCGGGGTGAGGCCAGGGTGCAGGCCGGCAGCTGGCATGGCCTTGGGGGGGATTGCGAGGCCATCCCATGATGACAGCAGCACCTTGCAGAACCAGAGCTGCCCCCCTCCTTTGCTGGCTGTCGTACTTCCCTGGGAGGGAGAGTAACGCTGAGTACACAGGGGATAGTGAGGGAGGAGGGCACACGGACAAACGGGGACACAGCCGGCACCTGCCGGTGACCCGGATACAAACACAGAAACAGCCGCCTCATGGGCTGTCACGGGCCAGCTGAGGACCCAGGAGGTAATGTGAGCCAAGGGCCTAACAGTGCCCACCACGAGGGGATGGGGGTCTAATCCAAAAGGAATGATGACCAGACACTGTAGGTGGTCTTCAGCGGTCATCCGGAAGGGAGGAAGCGACTAGAAGCACCTTGTTTCAAGAATTCTTCTGTCAGTCAATGTCTACCAGAAAGAAGTGACGATCCCCACGTGTGGCCCAACTCCTGGCTCTGCGTCTCGGGTGTTCAGGGTGTCTCCTCGTCCTAAAGGAAGGCCCCAGGAGACCCCTCCCAACTCCTCAAGGGTTCCTGAAGGGCCCCCAGGAAGGCAGGAAAGAATGCTTTTCCCTAAACTCCGTCCCGAAGAAGGACACGTTAGAATGTGAATATACAATGCCGACAGCTATTTCTAGATCAAGTCTGAAAAATGTGATTCATGAAATGTGGAAGAGGGGCATGGGGGTGGGCCAGAGAGCGCGGGGCGAGGCAGAGCCCCAGACAGCTGGGCTGGCGGGGCAGTGAAGGCCCCGGGGAGGGCTGGTGAGGCCTGACACAGCCTGGTGTGAAACGCAGGCCCCAGGCCCATGGAACGGTGCCTGTGGTTGGGCATTCCCCAGGGAGGCGTGTTTTCTCCCCCCAAAACCGTGGTTGAGACATGACAGAATCCAATCTGTTTCCCAGTTTACCCATTTCAGGTGAAGCCTTTGGGGTCCCTGCAGTGAGTCTCTCCAGCGACAGAGCAGCCACACGAGCCGGCAGCGGCCTGAGCCTTCAGGTGGACCCATGGCTTTCCGCAGGTGGGCCCTGGCTCAGAGCACGAGTCTGTGAGCAAGCAGGCCCCCCCACCGAATCACTCTGCTAAGGCTGCTGGAACGAATTACTACAAATGTAGCCAATTTTAACGACACAAATTTATTATCTCTGTCAGGAGTCTGCACTGGGTCTCACTGGGCTCAGATCAAGGTGTGGGCAGGGCTGCACTCCTTTTGGAGGCTCTGGGGGAGAAGGTGTTTTCCGACCACTGCTGGCTCCTGGAGGCCACCTGCGTTCCTTGGCACGCAGCCCCTTCCTGCATCTTCGAAGCCAGCCTATCACCCTGACTCTTCTGCATCTGAGGACCCTGTGATTATACTCAGTCCACTCACACACAGCTGGGTCATCTCCCCACCTCAAGGTCAGCTGTTAACAGCCTTACCCCCTCCCATGCCAGGTACGTTAACATAGTCACAAGTTGTGGGGTTTGGCAAGTGGCATCTTTTGGGACCATTTTTCTGGCTACCACACTCAAGGACAAATAACCCCCTATGTGGACAATTTCAAGGAGAAGGAAAGCTCCCCTTGGGGATGACCTCTTGGCATGCTCCCCACAAGGCCTCTGGAGGAAGGAGATGACACAGAGAGCGAGCGAGCACAGGAGGCTAGCAAGGCCATCAAGCGAGCCTCCCAGAGGGGATGGACTCCATTGCTCTGGAAAGTGTGAACCAACCCAAGTCATCCTTCCAAAGCAGTACCCACATGTGACTCTGGAGAAGAGCCAGCACCCCAGAGGTGACCCGGCTCCAGTGATTCTGCAGAAGGGAAATCAGAAAAGTCTACTGTACACCGGGGAGGAGACACTCTTGCCATGTGTCCCAAGGTGGCCCTGTGCTGGTCCCTGGAGTCCCGGTTTAGACCTACCTAACCCTAAGACTTCCTGTTTCAGGATGAGTTAGAAATGAGTTACAGCAACACCAGTGCACCTGTCAACCTCAAGGAAATTTCCACGTGGTGGGGTAATGCCGTTAAACATCACGCAACTCCCAACCTGGCGGCCTATCCCTTTTAGGTCTTAGTTTGGCTCCAAAAGGCCCAAAGGCTTAGCTAAAATAGTAGTAATAAGAACAATTCTAAGGAGTTGAGCGTACTACCTGCTGGCACACCTGCTTCTTCTCTGTCTAGGAATTAGAGTTTCAGAAACTTTAAATACCTACAGAAATGTTTATTAAAAACAACATGGAATTATCATGGCCATTATGAAGAATGTTCTAGTTAGAGAAGATCATTTAAGGAGTGCACTGGAAAGTCAGGGCCCCCAAAACAAACAAACAGAACAGGATACCTACTTAACTGGCGAGCAGAAGCCGCCAAAATGCTTCCAAATTCCAGAACAGCTTCACTGAGAGACTCACTGCAAAAGGCTAATTAATCACTGAACACAGGTTT